AAAATGGCAGGATCTCCTTCTTTTTAATCCAAGCATTAGTGCATTAGTGCGCTTGAAGGAGCTGATGAGGACATATGGACCTTTCCTATTTTTCAAGAACAAGCAATTTTATGTTTTCTCTTAAAGGTTTTTCTCACTTTGGGAAAAACCTACAAGGAATCAAGTAGGTGAGGACAGAGGCATAACGCTGGAGTGGCTAGGATAAGAGGCCAAGTTCCCATGAAACCAGAACCAAAGTGAAAAATATGGGCCAGAGGAGATAGCAATGTAGGATGAAAATCATGAACAAGAATAATTTAAAGCTGCTTCAAAGAAGCCTCTTTAAATGCTAAGGCACTACTTTTGGATCAAGCAAAGATGAAGTGTCCCTTTATGAGCTTTCACTGTTGCTCCCATGGGGACTATTACCAAGAGAGTAGCTGCTGGCCTACTAGCTTTCTTTCCTGTTTCTTTCTGGGTAAGCACGGAGTGAGCAGGACTGCTCCCTTATCTATAACCGAGAAGAACACTTGCCTCATTTATATGTGTGAAAATACATTCTTTCTGCAAAATATATATATAGGCAAATGGGCTTTTTTTCTCTATCAAAATACAAGGAAGGGATGTGGAAAATTAAAGCAATGGAGAATAATGCGATTGGTGTGGCTTGAACATCTGCACCCCACATCGTATCACACAGTATTTTTACCAGGATGAGGATGAAGTAGAAAACTTCCTTTCCTCTGTTACCTGCCATCACAAACTTAGGTGGTTCCAGGCATACTCACACAAGCTGACCTTTGCTGTGCAAACGATGCTTTCTCTGAAGCCAGCATGACCATTTGTACAACAAGATTCCTATATGATGTGACAGAGCTTACAGTGTCTAGGTGCAGCTGTAACTACATTCCAGATCTTAGTATTTCTGCCTAAGACACACAAAGCTTGAATTGCCTAACAACTACTTTTTTTTTTCTAATATGGCTTCTAATTACAACATGCAAACAACTGTGAAGAGATTAGAAAATCTAAGATGTCTCTTCAGCACATTCATTAATATTCTTTTGCTACTCTTTGCAAGCAAAATATACAGCAAAATTATGTTAATAATGGGAGCAAAAGCATTTCCCACTATATTGGATTACAAATCAAAATCTAGTCCCGAAAGTATTTATTTTCTTCCTGCTGTTAAGTCTCTTGCCAGTTGTGCCGTGTGAGGTCTGAGAAGTAAATAGAGGTGAACTACTGATAGACTGTTCCAAGCCTACCCTTTGGTTTGTGGATTAATAGGTTATCTCTTGTGTTTTGACTCTTATGTTATACAGGAGGAAGCCAAACTATAACTTTGAAAGAATGCTCAAAACCACTGATATTTGCAAATATTTCCAAATGAGGGACAGCGCGTAGTAAATTGTAAGATATATGTAGAACTGGAATAACATCATTTCTTTATTTTCTTTTCCTATTCTAGACTAAAAAGAAAAATCAGATATCTGTATAAATGTCACTTTTACTGTCTGAAAGTAATTTTAAGTGTTAGTATGAAATGTCAGAAGAGTTGACAGAATATAACTATTTGTAAGAGTAATCTGAATTGTTACACTAACATACTCCAGGGAGTGGGGTGGGAGGGAGCTATGGAAATTATTGACAATATGGAATGTGGCAGTGACAATCTCTCTTCAACAAAAAATAAGGAGTAAAATTAAGTAAAATGACTTAGAGCTTCTTGTTATTTTTTTAGTAGAAATGTATTCCAATTTACCACAATAGTAACAAAAATTTTAATTAATGTTTTACAACCTAGTATAGAAATGTACTCTGGAGAGTTTTTTCTGGGTTTGTTTGTTTATTTGTTTGGGGTTTTTTGGCTTTTTAAGATTTTTTTTGTGGTTGCAGAAATATATACTATTCTGGTGATGCTAATGCCTAATGTGACAAAGTTTAATTTATTTAGGCCCTAGTCTTGCAAGAAATTTTGTGTATCACTCATATGGTACCCCACTGACGTCAGTGGGGTCAATGTGAGCAGAAGGATGTACTTTCATAGAAGAGTTTGCAGGATTGGGCCTACTTTCTATCTCTTCATAGATATTTACAACATAGTGCACAGTGACAGTCATATGCAAAGGCTGTATGACAACAGTACATGGTATAATAAATTCCACCTGCTGTCTTCAGCCTCTACATTGATGTTCATCCAAAAAGTGGCTTTCTTTTTATGATGGTAATTACTTTGATTATTTATTTAAGTGCCAATCATCAAACTGTGGTATAATTATCATGCCATTTTTCTGTTTCCTATTCCAGATAATGAAAATGTGTTTGTGCCTTTTGATAGCATGCCACTCTGCTTTATTAAAGAAGTCTTCAATAATTTGTCTACAAAGCCTGTTTAAAATATTTGAAAGCTTTGCAATGACATACGTTTCTGCTCAAATATATAATACTCATCTAAAGTAAACTGGAGATAGTATTCTCAATTCACATAAATATTTTAAACACAAAATTTGCAAAAAAACTATTGAGATTGCAATTCTAGTGAGGGTCATTGTGGGTATATTACTGCTAAAAAGATGCAAGTAGATGGAGCACATGGAGGCATGTAGGGGTGTATTGACCAATTTATCAAGTTGAAGAGTCGGATAGAAAGTCTCCTTAGTCCTATTTAGGCACTTAGACCAAAAACATTATAATCTTTTCTCAAATCTGAAAGATAATGTGGAACATCTCCCCAGCTTTTAACCATTTACTGAAAAAGCTCAAGGCCCTTAGTTTTGGGAAATGATCTATGGAGGGGTGCAGCGAACCCTGCAAGAAAAGCTACAGTGGCTTCAACTCTCATTGGGGTTTAAGATACAGTCTGATTTCAGTGGGGCCTAAATTTTGTCCATCCATGTCAGTGAGGCTCCATATGTGCTCATCCGATTGAATCACTTTTGACAATCAGACTTCTAGGTGTAAGTGGAATATAAGGGCCACATCAGGCTCCTGCTCGCCTTTTGCTTAGGGAGGGATTTCCTATCAGGAGTTTGTACTGAACAGAAAAGGTTGATTAAAAATATCTGACCTCAGTTTTGTCCCATACCTTAGTATATGCCCAGAATTAGTGTGCAAAGTAAAAAGTCCCTCCAAATAGTTCTCCATGATTGCGTTTAGGTAAGGATAAACATGTTTTAAGAAGTATTATTTCTCCTTAAATCACTTTATTTAACTTCAGATAACGCTGCTGCTCAATGCAAAGCTGCCATGGTTAAATCAATACAAACTTTAAAAATAAATCTTAAAAAAAAAGATCTATCACCTTTTTCAGATTTTTTTTAATGTCATTTCAGGGAGCACCCAATCCATTTGACAGCAGTTCTGTAGTGATGGAGGAAACCTCTCACTAAATTTTAAGTGATCTACAAGATTTCCACTGTACATATAAATGAGTTCTTATATAATTCTATCTGGGCCTTAGCCAAAAGGAAGTCTTTCCATTACAGATTTGGCTTCAGATCAGGTTCTGAGAAATCGCAGTTTACGAGTGTATCTTTCCTCTTAACAGGCATTGTGAGCCTCATGATGTTTGACTTTCAAACTTGAATATTGGCCATATTTAGCCCAGAGAAATGAAATAAATACTTATTGCCAAATTTGTATTGGCAGCTTTTAAGTCATAGGTGAGATTGGGAGCGGGCAAGATGACTTGATGCAGTGCTGAAAATATTAAGGAAAGCTGCAAACAGAGAGAACAGGTGCAAAGGACTGAGCTGAGAGAGGGCTCAGATAGTAACAAGGAAAATGGGGAGCTAATAAAGCAAAAGAGGCTGCCAGAAGGTGTTGCTAAAAAGCAGGGTACTGCATACTGTGAAAACTGGAGAAGGGATAACGTTAGCCCTGCTGTTCCTTTAACTCTACCATGTAAGTAGGCTACATTTTAAATTTAAAATATAGGGTTAGGGGAAGGGAAACAAACCTTCAGAGTCTCTATGGATCAGTGACAAACGTCTAAAACAATCAGATCCCCCAGGAATATAATTTTATTGCTCACGGTGTAAAGTTCTCACTAAGAATATGAAGTATTTGGACAAGATTTTAAAAATAGCTTTCCTGCTACGATGAGCACTTGGTATGTATTTGTATGCTGTGTACAGTATAAGCTAAAGCATACCACATATTGTTTTTGTTATTCCACATGTTGTCAAGAGCCCACTTGCGATATATACCACCTGAATTATATATTGATAAGTTAGCTACCACTGGAGCTAGTTTGTTTATTGTTTCAAAATCTTATGTCCCTATGAAATGCTGTGTACATATATATATCTCTAAACTGTAAAAAGAAGTAATATTGCAGATGCTGGTTTTGTATTTATGAAAGACATTGAAAGTATGGCTTAAAGTATATCAATTATTTGTCACTCTTCACCATTTG